ATTCATTTTTTGTGTGGCTTTTTTCACGGTTTGTTAACATGCTGTGTAGGTGTGTATTTGACTAGCTGATCTCGACATAATGGGGAAACATCTGGTTTGACTATTCTTCACCTGTAGTTTGAATGCTGAACATTTGCCTGTTTAAATCATGAGACCAGTCACTATACAGAGATACTTCTGAATGTGGACGATGTGTCTTCTGCTGCAGTGATGCAGTTCTGCTTATGTTGAGTGATGTAAACAACTGATCGATCTAAACTCTTTAAACGTCAAAATTGATCATTAGATTTTTTTATGACATGACGGTGGTGAGTGTTCCCACCTTCTGCTCTTTGTAACTTAACGCGATCTTTCCGTTTTCGAGTTTTGGACATGATTTTGGAGTATATCTTCGCAGTAGCGATTGACCGCAAAGTAAAGCTACCGGAAATGTACAACCCCACATCCGGACTCAAACAAGGAAGTTAGCATTTTCTCGTGCACAGGGTCAATTGGCAATGAATAAAAGTGTAAAGTTTAAGACTCCTGTAAAGGTACTGAACTCTACTCCACACTGATGCCAACAAGGTAATAAATGCAGGAAAGAACAGCAAAGATGGGGGAAGGGAGGACATACTGTCATACTGATAGGCAGCAACAACTGCTCTTCTAAAATTATTTGATGGCCTTTCTCTTTAGCGCTGAATGCTCCAAGAGCAGAAAACTGTCATTTTAAAAAATAAAACACCTTAAAAATCCCCACACTGCTTCTTTGTTTTGGCTTAGTTTTTCTGTAGTTTATCAGAGATTGTATTTACCTAACAATCTAGAATTATGACTAGATTGTAGTCTTCTCTATACAGCCGTGGTAAAAAACAAAGGATGGGTAACCTAAATAAATGGAGACTGTATAATTACAGAAAGCCTACGTTATCCCTTGTGTATCTGTAAGTCTGCTCGCATCTACTTGAATCTGAGACCAGATGACCTTTTTCTTCAAAATGAAGCTTTTCATCGAAATGTGCCACCTGCACATGGGCCTAGGCAATGGACTTCAAAGAGGTATATCAGGAATGACTACTTAGCTCTACATGTCCATGTTAGTATAATCTAGGCTTAAGAAGATGACCATAGGATATAAAACTATGGGGTACAAAAAAACCCCATGCAAACATGGATAAAAGAATAAGACTTTTTTGTTGCTGTTGTGCTGAGACTGTCTGAAAAATGCTGTGTAAGCACTCTACAGGTCATGTTTAGTCCTGTGCAAACATTGTGAGTTGTCTTCTTTGTAACAGGAAATTAGTGGACAGATAGTCTTTGGGCACTTCCTGGGTCTACAGCACCAAGCAACTGAGAAAAATATTCCCATGCCGGACATCTTCACAGACGCCTCCTTTGATAAAGTTTTTGACTATCGACTTGCTACAAGTCAGGTGAGGAGCACAGCTGAAATTGAGCTGACAAAGTCTTAATAGTATTATAATACTAGAGACATAATCAAACTTCTGTCTGCTGCAAAAATGGTTAATGTTTCTCCAATTGGTATCTTTCCAAACTGATGAGGAAGGGACTCATTTATATTCTTTTGTTTAAATATTATTTTTGTTTTCAGCCTCAACTGATAGTTATGATGAACACAACACATCTATTAAGATCAAGGACACCCTTAGGCTATATGACATGGTATTAGCTGTGTTGCTAATGAGGTTTCAATCATTCTCACAGAAGTGCATATCAAACAACTATATGGTTTAACACAATAATTAACCACTATGTCAAACTTTGTTCTACTTCACAAGGTGCCGTCCAAATCTGGTTGTCTTCCATGTGCTTGTCCTTATCAACATAAAATGTATGATATATGCTATACTCTTATGAAGGATGACATGACTTTTGTGGTGTCAGCCTTCAAAACAAACACAGAAAATAATTCAGAAGAGCTGAAAAAAGCTGTGGAGGATGCACTGCTGGACATGAGGACCATACTGTGAAAACAAAGACGTCAATAAAGTGGTGGCTTTTCACTTTTGTTGAATGAGAATGTGACTAAGAGGCTTTGCTGTTGTAATTGTATTAAAATATAGTTTCATTCCACAATTCTGTGTTTATCCAGACTTGTTGTTAGCACTTGTTGCCAAGTTTGGGACCCACTGTGTTTGGACCATTCCAAAAGCAAAAATGAAGGCGGTAGTCATTTGCACTTTTGCAGACAACTGAAAGAATAAAACACTTTTTTAAAAATGGACATTTGCTGAACACCCTTTGCATTTTTATTTAAAAACATTCTCCCTTTCATTAGCACACTAGTCTACTGGTCAGAGCTTTTGGTCTACATTTAAAACAAAATAAAAAAAAATAAATAAACTGCATGCCTAAATAAAATGTTATTAGGATTACCACAGAGAGATGCTAAAGTTTAAAAGTAAACCAAGAAGGTTGCTGCTGATTCAAACAACCACATTTAAGAAGCAAGGGTTTAAAACAGGAGAGCCAACACGTGTTTGTTTTGGGTGGTTGGCTTGGAAGCTACTTTTAAAATGACCAGGGTGGTGGGGTGGATTGTTCATTCCATTCCTCCTTGCACGTAGAAGCAGATACTGATCCTGCTGATCGGTTAAGGACCTAAGGCCCTGCCCAGCTCTCCTAGAGTTAACTGCCTGTCTCCTGGAATCTTCTCCAGAATGTGCTAGGAGACCCTGCAAACCCTGCTGGCAATGGTGAATGCTGATTTACCATCCTTGTGGAATTGGACTACCTGTGCAACCTCAGTAGGATCCAAATATAGCAAAGTAGTGGAGGAAAACAGTTGAAGATGAGGGGAAAAATCTTGTTGGCCTCCACCTTCTGTGGAATAGCAATGGGTGACAAATCTGACATTCATATTATAATAATGGGCTGCACATCACTGGAAATTAGCTGTCTTTCTGAAAGCATTTTAAGTTTAAGAAAGATTCCTCCACCATCTTCAGTGCCAACACAATGCAAATCACCTACCTAAACTTTACTCCCGCAGAGGTAAATCATCTTGTTAATAGCCTTAACATCCTCACCATGTACAAACCTGGATACTGTGGTTTCTCTAGAACAGAAAGGAACCTGGACAGTAAATGGCACACTCATTTAGAAGATCTTTATTTGGCCTGGAATAATAATTTGATCAGAAAGTATGAAAGCCCTCTTTAAAGCTAGTACATCTTACTGTTTGTCACTGATGAAGAAAATGGGGAGAACCCCAGGCTTTTCAGCATTTTAACCAGGCTAAGTCTGAGCTGTGAGCCAAGTATTCCTTTAATCGTAACTAGCATTGTATTTCTTTGCAAATAAAGATTTATCTAAAAATATTTGCAATAATCCCACAGATGTGTCATTAAATGAAAAATAATAAAAAATAAAATTTAAAAAATGCTTGAAATACTGTAATAGTGTGGAAAAAGAACTTTAGAATTTAAGAAGGTCAGGAATGATCTGTTTATGGCCTCTGACGGAGTGCTTGTCCTGCTAGACCTAAGTGGAGCATTTGATACTACGGTCCATAATATTTTATACAGTATTGAAGGAACTGCACTGCAGTGGTTTGGATCATTTGTATTTTACAGGTTCACATTTATGCATGTAAATGGGGAGTTCTGCTGAAATGCAAAAATCAATAATGGAGTTTCACAGGGTTCCATACTTGGACCTATACTTTTTACATTTTACTGCTTGCCTTAGGCAAAAACATGTTTCTACAGCAATAAATTAAACTTAAATCTGAGTACCGCACTGGCACCAGGCAAACCTCCACCGGCCCCACTCCAGCTAAATAGGTGAAAATAGATTTAAGAGCAACAGGACTTGGTACTGTTGAATCTTTGATTCTATTTAATTTTTGCTGTGTTTTACTTGCATTTATCCGAAAGAGTAAGTGTAAACACAAAAAATTTTTTTTATATGCTGGAATATGCAGAAAATAGATTTAAATGTTAGAATAATCTGTTGCATATAATTTAATTTTTGTTTGATGCAATGTGCATAAAGGTAAAAGATTAAAACTAATAAAACACATTTTAAAAATACTTTTTCATTTGATTTAATTTTATATGATGGATTATGCAGAAAAAATAGAATTGGGCTGAAAGGTCTATTGCTTTATAACGTATTCAGGTTGTGTACCATGTTTTTAAAAATAACTAAGTATGGAATCAGTAAGAGTAACAGGATTACTTTCTTGGAGGAGTAATCAGTAATTAGTAACTAATTACTATTTTCCAAGTAACTTGACCAACGTTGGTCAAGTTACTTGGTAAAAAGAAATGATCAGTTGTAGTCAATTGTAATCACTAATGAGAAGTTTGTACAAGTTTGTAAAAGATTTAAGTGAGTTATATATTTGAACCTGTATACATTTGATGCCAAGTGTTTGAATTCATTCATTTTAGATTTTCTCTAACTTGTCCAGGCAATTCTGTTTTTGAAGTCAATTTGACGCCTATTTTTGTGTTAAAAAAGAAGCACAGGTGGCTAAAAAGATATTTAATTATTGTGAAGCGAAAAGGTCTCCATCCATTCTGTTTTAAGGCTCAGATATATGACCATAATGTCAAGGCTTAATAGCAAGTACAATGTGTCCAACTAAGTATCTAATTAAAAAAAACAAACTGAAATGTATGATTTTACACAGAATATTTGAAAAAACTGTCCAGGACATTTTCTATGATAAAATATGCAATTTGTCTGTCAACACAGAAGAACTGATGGCATGTGGAAGGTCCCCACACTTTTACCTTTTCCACAACTCAGAGGATATCACCAGGCCGATCAGCTCTCTAGAGATTTTTTGTTTTGTCTCTGTAATTCAAGGTTTTGTATTTTGGTATTTTAATTCTGAGCCTTCAGTTGGTTATGGTGTAGGGGGGTAAAGGGTTTTCCAGTACTATGTAAGTTAGGATTTAGATTTCCTGCAGAAGCCTAAATCAAGTCTTAATGTTAGAAGGATATTTAGTGCAGAATTTACTTTTTTTTTTTTTTTATTAACTATCCTGCTATTTCAGACCCATGCTGTATTCCAAACTCAAGTTAACTCCATGTCTGACTGAAGGT